TCTCATTTTCAACCACACATTCTTCAATAAAATAATATTTTCCATCACATCAATAATTTTTTCTTCTTTTTCAACAACACATTTCCCATTATATCACTATTCAAAATCAATTCTTCCCCCTAAAAATCCCTACTAAACAAGCACTAAGAAAGGACATTTCTGGATCTAACTTCAGACCAAGTATATGATATCTAAGAAAGGACATTTCTCGTGCAGACTATAGAATACCTGCATGAAAACACTTCCATTTTTCACCAGTGGATGATTGTGCAAATCAGCACCTGGTGGGAGTATCAACAAGCCATGCACGGTGTCATCCTCCCGAACCTAATTGATATAGTTAAGAGTCACAATCGCCCCATGGTACAAAAGATGAGACTAGATAAAAGAATCGCAGCTAAATACTTGATGAAGTTCATTGAAAGTATCATTAAGTATCCTAAACATATCGAACAGTAATCAAACAAAACTGTTAACATCAGATGCTATTGACAAGATAAAGTTCCATCCAGTGTATCAGTATACCATGATTTCTATGCTTCCAAATTATAGTCTCTCCATATTTAATAGAGAGTAGCATCTCCATATTTAAAGCTCTCGCTACTGACTCTTTTCACTCACTATCTCATAATCTGGTAACTTGAAAGTACTCCAAAAGCTAATAACAATGTGCTGCTCAAAACATACACAAAACTATTAAGTATTACATGCACCAATACCCAAACCATGGGAACAGCAATTCACCACCACATAGTGGATGGAAAGACTTGTCAGGAAAGTGAAAAAAAATCTAAGATCAATATTGTATGAAGTGTACTAGTATAAGTTGAACAGCATACCTCATACTGTTTCCTCAACTCAAGCAAGGCCGATTCCGCATCCATCTTCAGAGTATTTACGCGAACATAACGAGGTTTCGGTACATCTGCAGGACATGGACAACTAACTGACTAAGATCTGAAAAATATTCATACAGTAAATAATACACTGCACTTGCCCCTCAGTGGTCAATGTCTAGATAATTTAATGCATGATTTTTTTTGGAGAGGCATCGGATAATGCAAGAGGAGCAAACCGACAATTAAGTTTGAGAAGAATTCAGGCAATAATTATGGGTCATCTAAGGTAAGGGTTCTTGTTCAACTTTTTCATTCATTGGGGTAAAGAAAAGGTTGGAAGGAAACTATGCATTCCTCTAATCCTCTCAATTTTAAGTGTGTGTCCGCATTGTGGCCTCAAACCTGTGCTAATTTGTGCCAAATATTTATCTTCGTCTGTGATTCTTCGCTGTTTTCAAGATGTTTCCTTGTTTCTTGGTTCAAGCGATCTCTAAACATTGAAAAATCACGCTTCTTCTTCCGACCTAAAACTTTTCTAGGTAACTTTTTGAAGCATGCATAAAATATATTTCCACATTAATATTGACCATAAACGTGATATATTTTAATATGTGTAGCAAGAATAGATGTTCGCACTTAAAGTTATTGTTTTTTTTAGTAGAAGTTTCATATTAAATGTTATTAAGCCAATTGAGTTGTATGAGAGTCCACGTATTTACCAGAAGCAGGAGAGGAGCTGGAAGAAATGGCAGATGTCATCAAGTCTTTTATGTCTTTCACTCCCTTACGCTTTAAAATCAGTGCCAAAGCTGACTGCAATGCATCTTTTTTTAGCAGTAGAAACTTTTCTGCATCACCAACTACTGAGCCCTCCTACAGGGAGAAACTAGACTGACATAAACAATATGACAACAAAGACAGCCATAAAGAAACACATATTACATACTCTTGAACTAAAAACTTCTCTCTTTGGATTCTATATTTTAACAAGGATACAATGGGAAAAACACATTCTCTGTTTGGTTCCAAAAAAATGAGGCAAATGCAGGTATACACATAATCAATGGAAACGACACTTGACAGGAATGCACCTATTTTCTTTAATTCTCAAGATATTCAACGACGTTCAAAAAGTTTTAGGTTCGATTTCTATTTTGTTTCAAAAGAAAATTCAAGCTTTCCCTTATTTTGCTTTTCATTTCTTTTATGAAAGCCAAGATGCCTAGAAGAAATCGAATCAAGAGACAACTAAATTATAGTTTAACTAATTTGCATATTCGTTGAGGGAGAAAAATCACCTGGCCAAAAAGAATGTCATATGTGATTATATATATTAACTCTCCTTGCCTCTGTAAAGCAAACACCAAATAGATATCAGATTAGTAAGCATATATATAGAATCTCAATCAAGAAACCATGCAATTGTCTCGTCCTAATGCATACAAAATCCAGTAGTGCTTAATGTTCTTACCTTCCACTTGCCACTAAGTACATTCGCAGCCACCAAAATATCCTTAATAATTGGGAGATCTGCAAACACAGATAGACCAACGACAAAACATTTGGAAACTGACTAGAGAAAGCCAGAATTTTTTTCAGTAGATATAAATAACATACGAACATTACCTATACTCTCTAGTATCAAAGCAACTACTGATTCAAAACTAGTACACTATGCATTATTGGTTATACATAACTAGTTATCAAAGCACCTATCGATTCAAGACTTGTACACTGTGGATTACTGTTTATGCATAGCAACTTTTCAAAGCAACTGCAAATTCAAAACTTGTACACTATGCATTAGTGGTTATTCATTACTAGCATAAATGAAGTTTAGCTAGGAACGTTGCTGACTTACACTTGAGCGTTTGGCAAACTAATGCGTAGGTGGCTTTTTTGTTTCTGATTGTTGGACTGTAAACAAGGGACTTGATAGATCCGACGGCTCGCCGTCTAGCGTCACCATGGAGAACGCTGCGCAAGACCTTAGCGGCTTCTCTTCTAGCGAAGTAAGCCGACCTATCGAGTCGCTTTACCTCCGGCTTCAAATTCTTCGCAGCCGAGTTTGAGATTACCTTCGGCTTCGGCTTCTTTGGCGCCATGGATCACCTTTTTGAGTAACAGAAAGAAGAGGGGAAAAGTAGGGCTCTCGAATTGTTATGCGGACTGTACTTGAACCAAAATCGCTATTGATTTGAATTTGGGTTATTAAAGCGGTGTTCAGTACAATGTCATGGTTTTGTAGTTTTATTATTGATGACATGGTCATTTTCAAAAATCCCTACCAATATCGAGGATCAGTCCATTTAAGAAAATTTCTAATGGGACTATGTACTCCCCAACACTAATCGATTTTTTCATTGTTTGAAAACTTAATACTATTTTATAATTAAGATATAATTGAAAAATTAAATGCATTGGCGGACATAAAGTGGGTCCTAGTAGGTCAAGTGACCCACCAACTTTTTTTTCTTTTTTGCAAAATCAAAAATCAGTATTATAAACATCTTTGGAAGTATTGATCATTAATCGGAAGGCTTGATTATTGATTTTAATATTATTGTTTAGGATTTTGAAATGGAACCCAAATGTAATTTTAAATTACTTCCAAATGACATTTAGATTCCCCAACTTTTTGGACGGAAATCAATTCCTACTTTCCTACTTTGACGTGCCATAATAATGTATATAGCCACTATTTGACAACAATTAATTTTTTATTGTTTTTCTCTAAATTTTTGGGGTCATTACGAGATGCCAGAAGTCGAAATATTGCATTTTTAATATCATTTTAAAGTGCTCACGGCCTAATTTTTCAATTCGTTAACAACGAATGAAACGAAACGATAGTAAATGTAGGCGCATCAAAGTAGCCACTTTTCAAAATGGTATTCTAATAACATGTTAATTTAAAAAAATTTCCAACAATCGTACGCCAGTCGAATCCATAAATTGCACACGTCATCTCGAAACTCATTACGAAAACTACATCATAGACATATCAAATAGCCGAAACGAACATTGAAAATAGTTAAATATGTGTTAAATGTGTATCTTAAAAAGAGACGTCTAACTCTTCACATGGGCCGACGCGCCATAACATTTACTACGGTTTTTAATACGACAAAAAATAAGTAACCTTTAATCACCATATATGATGTTGATTTCATTTAAAGTCTCTCACACACTTACATGTAATCTCATTGAGATTCCAATATGTAATAAGAAAGATATATAAGCACAATACTATGAAGCATAAGTGATAAAGAGGAAGATATAGGAAAAGCTGAAGTTTGAAGAAGAAATGTAGCGAATATAAATGAGTTAGTTTTGATCTTCACCTCTATTTATACCCCCTAACTAAAAATGTTTGCCTCCGCCACTAATTAAATGTTCGCTTTGATATTTTTTGCAAATTATAAAATTAAATGATCTATGAGACAAAACAAAAAAAAATCTAAAAATTTTAGGGACCGTTTGGATTGTATTTCAGTTTTGAGTTTTGAGTTTTAAATTCATTTTCAGTTTTCTTTTTTGAGGGTCTATTTTAACATTGTTAAAAACAAGTTTGATTTGTCATTTTGAAAAATTATTTCTATAATTTTACAATATGTTTTATAGTTAAAAAAGTAAAATAAAAACAAATAATAAATTAAGTCCAAAATATAGGAAATAAAAATAAAAATTATATCTATATCCATTTAAATATATATTTTTTAAAATTTCTTTATGTAAATCATTATTAAGAGCTCGAACTATTTATATATTTTATAATTTTTATTTTCTAGAACTTTTTATAATTTTATTTTCTAGGATTTTTATTTTTTTAGAATTTAATATTTTCTTTTTTCAAAATTTTATTTATTTTTTTAAAATTTTATTGAAATAAAAATTTATTTAAACACTCATTTTCCATGTTTTGAGTAAAACGTCAAAAACACTTTTTAAGTTTTATAATATAAATTTATCAATGTTTTTAAAAATGCATTTTCTATAATACCAAACCAAACACATTTTTAGTATTTTGTAAAATCGAAAACAGCTTAAAAACAATAGACGAAACTACCCTTAAGTTTTACTTTTTGGAAACTCTTCTTGTAAATAACTTGAACAAATTAGGTTGTATTTAGAGGTAGTCGGGCTAGAAGCACGATCTGATTATCATAGTGGATTGATGATCTAACTCGTGGATTGGCTTGAAGGGTCAAGGTTGATTAAGTTTTTAACGAGTTAAATTTCTTCATACTTCAATCATTCAATCGTTTACATAGCATTAGCCAGTTCTAATTGATAAGACTTGAACTTCTATTTTTATGTTTGATCACGAATAAAGAGATTGTAAACAAATATTAAATGATAAAATCAACATTTTTCTAAAATTGCAAAATGTGATGGGGGAGAAGACTCGAAGGGAAAAAAATTATTTCTCTACTATTATATTAAATAATAAACAGAAAATACTACATAACCGAAAAAAATATCAAAAGTACTGCAACATAAACTTTCTTTATTTTTATCTGAAATGATGAATGAGAATACAAAATGAACAAATTAATTGAAGATGTTGAAAATATGCCAATTAAAATATAAAATCAAGCTTGGATGAAGCATTAACATCTTATATTCAGTTCTGGTAGTTATCGTATAAACGTTATCGTATAAACTCGATTGTTGAAAACACATAGGCCTGCTGGTTCTGAAATCATCTTAATTCTGAGCAATACAAATGAAATTACCAAATGCAATTATATTTTTTCATTTTTCGGTTTGTGACAACATGTACATCATACACGTCTCTTTAAAGAAGTTGGCTAGTATAAACCCAATGTCGACCCGTAAAATTAGTAATTTTTGAACTACAAATCAGGTTTCCATAGTCATTTCATGATAATTTTTTTTCACAATTCACTATAGTCAAGTTACTTAAGACTAAAAAGATGGTTGTAAGTAGCAAAACCTTTTGATACTCTAGCGTGGGCACACGAAAGAGCATGGCAACAACAATCACTCTCAAGTAATACAATTATCATTGTACAAAAATTGATGAGTAAGTAAAAGGTCAATCACTTGGAATTGTTAACTATCACAAAAACAATGTAAAAATATTGGGCACCAATATTCTCGAATGGAAAAGAGTAATTCACCAACGTGATAAGCAAGACCAAGAATGTTTCAACATAAAAATGATATAATGTTTTAACGATCAATTGTATAATGTAAAAAGGCTGGATATAGAAAATATTTGAGTTGGGACGATGAATCACATGGTGTATTAGAGTTTATATAATTACGAATGAATCCCAAAAATGCTGAAATCGCACTTTGGATAATGTATTATCGGAAACTACATGTAGAAAATCACATACCGAGATATGATAAGGCGGTCTGCAAGTAAAAGATGATTTCTTGAAATCGATTCTTGATTTTTTTTTCTTAATCTTTGTGTAATGGGGAAGATGTAGATTGGGGATTTTGGGCGTGGGGTGGGGTGGGGTGGGGTGGGGTGTGCGTAGTTATTGATATGTGTGTTTGGTGGAGTGATGATGGTGTTTAATTTGATTAATAAGATGAGTGATTATATTTATTGATTATCATTTTTACTCCATAAATTGCAGTGATTTTTATTTTTTAATTAAAAAAACTTGCAAGGTAATAGATGAATACATATTTAAATTGATCTAAGGGGCGTAATTTCCTCGACTTCAAGTATGTTTTCTCTAAGCCAAACAAAATCAAGTCTGGACTACAAGTCGAACTAATATATAGAAAATAAATTTACACGTAATAATTACATATTTTATTGAATATTTGCGTCGAGATATAAATATAACCTTTTCTTTATTGTCCATTTCTTTTTTCCATTAAATTATTAGTAATCTAATCACTAAACTAGGTGCGATACATAGACTTT